TCAAAACAATATCATAACTTCTGGGACAATTTATCGCCCAGCAAGATTGTTCATTGTGACATTTTTGCTGAGCACATGCTTGTGCAACCTATAGGTTGCCTAATTTGATACGCATCTTATTAGCAACATGGAAACTCCAATTACTCAAGCATGTTGAGTAATAAGACAGAGGAATAAATGTAATTATTCATAATGTTGACGGAAAACAACTGAATAAAATGTCTAACTGCTGCTGTCATTCAGGGCTGAAACAAATGATTTTGTTTAGTTCAGATTACTCTTGAGTCTTGACGATTATTTGTGTTCAAAAGAATTTTACTTTCTGCAAATTTGTCATGTAATACATTTTTATACAACATTAGAAATGCATCTGGAGATGCAAAAAATACTTAAATTATTTCTTAAATGAGAAAAACATTTTATTGACTAGATATAATAACAGCATTTATTTTGTAATCATTTGTAGCAAAGGTGATCTTACATCATGTAAAAAGCTCAGCCTTTTCTGCTGGACTTAACATCAATACAGTGTTGAGCTGATCAGATTTTTATTTATTTCACAGAATATGGACTGTGTTTTTTGGTAAAACATATTTACAGACATGTTTTTTTTCTATCTTAGATGTAAAACTGATATGTTTTGCACAGTTTTGGCCTTTATTACAGCTCTGAGTGAGTTATTCGAGCAGCAAATGTCTTTTTTTTTAGTTCGTATACTCCAGTAACAATTAATCGATTACTAAATTAGCTGATCATTATTTCAATGATATTTCGTATGAGTGGATGACTTACAGCCCAAAGCGGAGGGTCCCGGATACGTAGGTCTGCCAGTGGGCACAGAAAAACATAAACATCCCAATGAAGCCACAGAAGAAAATCCAGTTTGGGTATCTTCCTATTCCGCATGAAATGCAGGTTCCCACAGCAACAAACACTGAAATCATAAAAACACAAATATACAATGTGAATTCTTCCCATTTTCCTGCTTGTCAAAATGTACAGTAAGAATAAAATGGGGCAGCAATTGGACATTTTGGCTAAGGGACCTGTGGAGACGGCATCGCAGCCGTGGTCGAACAGTTCCCCGAGCGGTGAGCTGCTGTTTGTCCTCCTGGCCTGTTTCCCATCAATGGCATCCAGAGACTGATAAATGAAGAGGCCCAGAGCAGACAGGAGGAAGGCCCAACATGGAGCCTGGAGACACAGAGCAGGAGACAGAAATTCTTCATTTCAATATGGCCGCCCTTCGCATCAACAGTCGTAAAATGTGGTGGAAACATGTTTAGTTTACAAGACACACAAGTAAAAGAGGGTCTAAAATTCACGTTGCACCTGTAACTCTAAACTTAACAGATTAAAAGTGGTGCTGCATTATAGAAAGTAAAGCTTAAAATGATGTTTGTTAGAGATATTACAAACAATAAATTTGGGCGTCGCCTTGTTGAAAATCTGACTTTTTATCTCAAATTTTGACGTCAAATCCAACTCCAAATAACTTGAACGCAGCATGAAGACCAAAGCTTTTTATGGTGGAAACACATAAATAATAATGGCTTGTTTAATTTTAAAATATTTTACACTTTAAACTGCATAGCTTTGTTTATATATTATTTTATATTGTGTCGTAAATGTGAAAGTTCACTGTAAAAGTAAAACAAAAATATATTTTTGGGGTTGAATATTCACTGATTTTGCTTTAAAAATGTAAACTTACTCCAGATGTCTCTTTAGAAGCTAAAGATATTCTTATCTAATTGTAATTGTTATTTAACTGGTGTACATAGTGAAATAATGTGATATGTAACTGACTTGTTATCAGGTTCTAACATCTGATTGATTAACCTGCACAGGAAGTTCACTTCTCACCAATCATCTTGACCATGTGCAGCATTTGCACCACCAGTCTGTAATTGTAAGCCTTACACATACAATGAATTCACAATACGCTGAAGAGAACTCATCTATTTACATTAAAGTCGGGATATTTATAGAGAAATTTAGTCTGGGCAAGGAAATCGTGAGCAGCAGAAAAATTATTTTTAACAAAAATGAACTTGAGCATAATGTCAGTCAACAAAGTCTGTTGGTTTAACTCTAATTGCTATCCTCAATGTGTGCTGCTAGATTTAAAAGTGAAATTATTCTTCCACTCCTTTGTAGAAATGCATTGACATTTATTTTTACTTGAAGAATTCACAGTGTTTGCATTAGCGCGGCAAACACGAGGCAAAGAGAAATGTTTGCAGTAAATACTGTCTGAAATGTCATTAAACAAATATTTAACAGCTGAACAATCTGGTTTTGTTGAACATACAAAAGTTAAAGCACATTGTTTGACTAAAATACATCTTAGAGAGAAAGATAAGGATGTAGAGGGCAAACGAGATGATCAATATGAACCAAAAGAACCTCCCAGTTCAGGTTTGACTGTAAAAGTGGTTCCAGTTAGTGGTGGGCATTATGGACTCTGAATTTTATCACAATATTTTGCTGTACTATTACGATAACAATAAAGATTATACTTTTTAAAAACTAATTATTACTTTTTAGATAAGAAAAAGGCCACAATTCTCACCTTAATCCCAGATTACCCCCACCCAAAAAAAAAGTTAAATTAAAAGTTCTAATATTGAAATCATAAATGTATTATTTACACAACTTTGCAAAGTTTTTGCACGTGTTTGAACTATAACTGGGGCCTGACTATCAGCAGGCTGCATGGACTTTGTTTCATCAGCTCTTTCTCATGCTTGGATGGGTCAAAGGTGCTTTTTTCTGATAAAACACAAACGTATGTCTTATGGCTGTGGTAAAGTGACATTATGCACCCAGCTCAACTGGACCATAGGTCAGCTGCAGAGGCCTATTTCTGCATTTCGGCTATATATGTACCAGGGATCTTATGTCTGCACTGTCTTTGCAGTTGTTTACACTACAACATCGCTATAATGACAACAGTCTTCTGGAATGGTGACCTAAAACAAGATTATGTCCCTAAATGCTGTTTTGTTCCATCACATGCGTGGTGACAGACAACAACACGTAAAAATCTGTAAACTTTCCAACTATGTACGACCATTAATCTATTCCGTAAATTTGCCGAATCAAAACGGAGCTACTGAAATCATCCACACCGCGTGATGCCAATAAAGCTTTATATATTGTAATGATACAACAACTACAGACGCGTGTGACTGTCTTTAATTCGGCTTATATTACTTTAAAAAAAGCAGTCGACTATTTAAAATAAATCCAAAAATAGACAATAGATTGCGTTAGCTTTCGCTATTAGGGTACTGATTTAATTAGAAATTGTTTTCACATATCAAATAATACGATACTTATCTATAGGCCGAATTGACAGGAAAACGTTTTTGATTAAGACACTATATTTACTTTTATTTTTAGTAAAGATGGAGTGAAAGGCTGTCATGAACTATTTATTTCGGGCTATTTTTAGATGTAGTTCGGTACGAACGTAAACAGCGCTCGAGCCCTTGTGAAAAAACTTCAGCTAGGCTCGATTTACTCACCTCTTCCGTTGCCGTAGGACAGAACCAAACCAGCACCACCGTGGATAGGATGTTTATCAAGAGTCCAACAATAGTCAGCGTGTTCGGTGCGACCCATGTCGGTATCTGTAGGACCAGCCAGTTCCAGTAGACCTGGCACGGAGGCTCGAACAGGGAGCGACCCGAAGCGCTGTACTTATGCTCCTCCAGCCGCTTCAATTGTGCGGGTGACAGCGGCTCCGGCCACAGGCAGTGTGGCATTATCCGTCCGCCTCGTCGCTCCTCTAAGTACCGTAACAAACTCCCAGGTTTCTCCGAGCCAGCGCCTCACAAAACGGTTAAATTGTTCTCTCTGCCGACTCCCAAACGAGAGCAGATCATTTGGCTTTTGTTGCTCTCGGTGCAGTCGAGGCCATTTCTGCAGCGGAACCAAAATCTGCTGCAGATCGAGGTGCAAGTCTGCAGGAAGCGGAGCAATAACATGACCGGGAAATTTAAATCAGCATGCCGGTGAACCACTGTGGTCACTCTTTCATTACCTCATCTGCAAAGGTGGAGTATTTAACCATTACATTAAAATAATATGGCAGCTATGTTTTATTAATGTTCTTTACATGCTTTAGTCATACCTTTTTGGTTAATAAATGAATGACAGGTAAGAAAAAGACATAAAAATAAACAGATTTAATTTTAGACTGTTGCATTATAAAAGAAAAATGTAAACAAAAAAATATCTATATATAAGCTTAACATTAATTTTATTTAAATAAAACATGATACAATTGAAGTTTTTGTTTGTGGTATGCTATGCAAAACATCACTATGGTAGAAATAGGAAAAGACTATAAAATGCTTATAAAACATAAGAATTAAAAAGTCATGCATAGCCCTATGAATTAAAAATAATCAAATTGAAGGATTCCATATTTTAATAAAATAAGAAAATCAGTCTATTATAAAATAAATGAAAAAAATATGAAGTAATTTACTTTCTATTGATTTCTGTGAAGCATGCTTCATAAGCTATATATATAAACCTAAAAAGGAAAATAAAGTGAAATTATTATTTCAAAGATGGAAAATTTTTTAAAAAAGTAAATATATTTATAAATCTATAAACTGAGGTTTACTCTGGTCAAATAAAACAGCTTAACGAATATGCAAATATTCATTAAACATTTAACATATTTATCTAAACTTATTACATTTTGTTTTCTGATACAGCATTTTTGTTTCTGCCCCCCTGATTCACTTGCCTAGTTTCTTAAAAAGCCACTAATACAAGTTGCTAAAATATAATTAAAGCTATAAAACAGAGATATGAATTCATGTTCATCATTTTTATAAAACAATGAACCCTAAACATTAACTCAAAACCAACGCGAAGTTTATGTTCCTCTCATTAATGTATTTTGGAATATATTTCCCCAAAACCAAATTATGAAAACACATTAAATCCACTCAAAAGAAGATAGGATAACCAGAAAAGACAGACGCAATTCGAAGGTTTATTATAGCTGCGGTTCGTAATTACAAAGGAAAAGACATGCACGTATGGTTGAACCTTTATCAGTCCAAAATAAACTCAAAAGTTTTGATGTCATGCATGTGAGTAAACTTCTACATTTCCCCACAAGAAAAAAAAAGCCAAAAAATAAATCAAGTTTCTTTCTCCAACTTTACCCAAATCGTTCTTATCTTGAGTTAAATTCATATTAACATGGATAATTTAAACATTTCTGTTTCTTTTCTATGGAACTCCCCAACCAAAATAAATAACACATTCACTGACCAAACCAAGAAAAACCCACAGAAAATACCTCAGACACGAGTTGCTATTCATTAATCCTTATTTAAATAAAATTTTTTCTTGTTCTTAAACACTAAAGTAGGTTCTGAGGTGATACATTATTTCAAAGAAAACAGGGAGTGAAAGGAGATGAAATGACCGGGTTTTTATGTCAACAACAAGCTTCAATCATGCACACAGCATTCCACACCACAGACCAGAACTCCCTCCGCCAGAACCGATCCATTAATCCAGCATTAACCCGCCGTCAGTGTGCTGATCCAAAAAGAGAGGCGAGAGACGAGGGTCGCTGATGGCAGACAAGTTTTGCAAAGCTAAAGCTCCTTTTTGTAGTGGTTTCAGTTTCATTTGTCTTGCTCTACGATCTTCGACTCGTTCATGTATTTATCGATCAGGTGTAAGGGTACGCCACGCTGCATGAGCTCGAAGAAGGTAAACCCCCCTAAAGAACAAAAACCCAAGTTATGATGATGTTGGCATAAACAGAGGTGAAAAAATAAATAGAGAAGGTTATAATACTGAGCCCTCTAGAGTTACTTATATATTTAAATAAAAACCTTAAATACAAAAATTATGTTTACAGTATTTCAATAATCTCATATAAAAGCAGATTGGAAAAATCTAAAGATAAATTTGAACAATCCTTTTGGTAACTTTAACAATTCCTATCAATTAAATATAACTGGTGAATTTTTACATTTGAACTTCACATTTAAAGTTAATCAGGGTGTTGAGGAACTTCTAATTAGTAATCAAATATTTTGTTTTCCCGATGGGCAACACTTGACATGACACTGTCATAAACATAACACCTGTCATGAATGTTTATGACTGCTGTGAAGTGTCATTTGTTCAATAATGATGCTTTTAATGCAAATTTGCTTTGAAAGTGCATTAAAGTGCAATAAAAGTGTCATTATTTAGTCATAAAGAGTCCTTCACATGAAGAGTTACCCCTGGGGTAGATTTGATTTATTTTCTTTGATAGTGTTTTACACTATAGGCTGGACAATAAATCGATATATCACAATATACATATGATCAGTAGCAATAATAATAATACATCTGGTAGAACATTCAACACATGGAATATTCGCTGCACTCTGATTCTGAACTGCACTGCATTCTGGGAAATGTCGGCAGAATTGTCCAATAAATTCTGGACAATGTTTATTTCTTTCTTTTATATCTAATTTGCTTTGTATAACTAACCAGAAAAATTCTGCACGGTAGCATCTATCTACTTCTCAAAAGTAGTTCAGGTTATCTACAATTTTTTTAAATCCAAAAACCCTGAAACTTTTCCCCCAGAGCTACAGCTGGCAATTATTCAGGCTCTGCAGACTCCTGCATATTTTAGATGTTCATTTGGTTTTAGTACAAAACCTGAAAAGTAATGCCATACCCAAAGTCTTACCTTTTAGCATGTTCAGAAAATGCATTTGTTTTATAATGTATTTATTTTATTGTTTTCAACTTCAATCCACTGTTGTTGTTTGTCGATGGGACACCAATACAGATGAACGTGGAACTGGGATTCTTTTCTTTTTTTTTTACAACCATGCACAGTTCAAGGTTCACAATTCTGCAAAATTCAGATCCCTAAATTACAAAATTGTCAGTCATAATGTTTTTCCAAGGAGTTGGATCTTTTCAGTGGCCTTAAGTTCCTTAAATCCATGTACCAGGATACCACATTCCATATGGAGCTAAATTGGGGCAATAAACTTTGTTCAAAAGAAAAAAAAAAATATTGAAAAAAAGTTGCAAACTACTTTTCAGAGTCAAGTTTTTTTCTCAGTATCAGATTTTTTTCAGTTTATTTTTTTTCTTTTGAACAAATCTTATGGCCCCAATTTAGCTCCATAATTTGATAGTTTCATATTAATCCCACAAACTGGCTCATTGGAAGCAATTCAAAAAGACCTGAGAGATAAGTCAAGACATTTGAATTGTGCATGACATTTTCAGCAACTTATAACAACAATTGTCCTCAATCTTACTAAACTCGCTTGGAATAAAAAGTGTACTCACCTCGTCTCTGTCACAGCTTACATGAGAAACGGTACAACATTCAACCAATTTCAAAGCAGAATTCAGTAAATATAATCAACATTGAAATATTTAGGCAAGCCAGAATCTGAGTTTACTGGTTTCTGCTTTCAGCTTCTGTCCCTCCAGCCTACAAAGGCAGGGTTACACAGGCAGACCAAAAGATGCACAATGAGTGAAATAAGCTTCATATGCTGAAACCATATGAAAGCTTACCTTATCTTTTATATGAGAACATACATTCACAATTCTTGAGTTGGGACTGGGGGAGAAAGCAGAAAAGAGGGGTTAACCCAAGTTTACATGGAGTTACATGGAGTTTACATGTGTGCACCAGGGAGTACTGCTGAGTTATTACTGAACTCTTTATATGAAGAGTTAACAGAACAAAGGAGACACTGGAATCTGTGGAAAATAGTTTAAGATGGAGAGGTGAATTAATAAAATGCAAGAACTTCATTGCTGTGCGAACTGTGATGAATAGAATGGCAGGATTGGAAAAAGACACAAACATAAGGGATGACATTGTGATGTGTCACCAAATATTATTTACACTCCACATACTTGAACGAATTACCATTATTAAAACCAAGTTGCACCAAATGTTTATGAATTCAAATGTGGGATTAAATCTAAAGCTGTGAATGGCTGCTGTGATTCAGACAATCTGCAAATTATCTGTTTTTGTTTTTTTAGATTAAAAATCTGTCAAATTTAAATACAGGGTGGGCCATAAGTTTCCATACGACACTGTGGCAAAACTTATTTGCAAGTTTCAGAAAACTGGAAATGTTGCAGATCAACCATAAAGTGGTCCAAGACATGCAGCGATTACACAGAATCCTACAAAAATTAAAAATGGTTGTCCAATATCAAATGTTTATTTATTCTTTGTATGGAAACTTATGGCCCGCCCTATATGATGCTACCAAACATCTCATTGGTTTAGATTTAGATGGAGACTTAAACAGATATATATTTATTTAAACAGATATAAAATTGAAAGACAGGACAGACAATTTTTATACAAACTGATCCATTTATGACATTTACTTGGACTAACAAAGTTAATCTTAAAGAAATCTAAGGTAAAAATGAATATATAACTTAAAAAGCACAGCTCCAATTACAGCTTACTGTAATGCAATCTTCTAATAGTCCTGGACTTCAAGACTAAATACTGTTCCCCATGTATTTTCAACTTACACTCAGTTGCTTTTTCTTGAACATGTTTGTTCAGTATTAAATTGTAACCCTGGTTTCTAAATTACCACAATCTAGTCCTAAAAAACAGTTGGACTCAAAAAAGTAATGAATTTCGAAACAAATGGTGCAACTCAGTCGAGGTACTTACGTTTCCACTTGGTACCGTCCATTTGGTTGACCGTTATAATATCTAGATGGAGTTGGTTTCCCAAAAAGATGCCTTGCCTCTTTACAATTATTATAGACTAATGATTATGACCATAATAGCAATTACTGGCATAAATAGACAAACTTCTTAATGATATATACCCAATTTTTCTTTTAGTCACAATAAGGAAGTAAAGAGGTAAAAATGGGAAACCAGACTCATAGACTTTTAATGCACACCTCCAGGTCCACACTGACCTTTGACCTCCAGCTTGCATTCCACTTGGGCCTCCCCCAGGTCGTTGATGGCCTTGCAGGTGTACATGCCGCCATCATAGGGACTGGGTTTCCTGATCTCCAGGGTGCAGACTCCTTGGTTGCTAAACATTCGGTAGCGTGGGTCATCAAAGATGATCATCTTATTCTTCATCCAGATCACTTTTGGCTGCAGGAAGAAAGAGGAATATCAGATGCACTTATTGGTTGTGTTTGACTATAATGCAATACCCACTGCTTCCATAATGCCATGTCCTAGTGACATTTGGCAGTGGAATAAAGGATTTTGCACGGTTCTTTGTTTTAGTTAGAGATCACTCATTCTTAAAGGATACCTATTTTGAAAAACTGACATTTTTTTTATACTTCCATTTGAGTCTCTTCTGCTTCTAAAGAAAAGTCCAAACCCTTAAAAAAATCCAGATGTTTTTTGGCAATAATTTCAAGGTCTTTGGTATCTGGAAAATAAGCCTTTTCAAAAAACCTCTGGAATAAAACGTCACAAATCAGCAGGCACTGCGCTGTTACCTAACAACCTCGGCAAAGCCCGGCCGGTTTTGGTCAGCTGGTTTCTGACTGTTAAATGTGATGTACAATGCCTGTTGGAAAAGACTAGTGTTTTGTTACTGACTTTCTATTCAGAAATCACTTGCTGCATTTGTCAGTTGTGCAGGAGGCTCCACTTCTACTTTTCAGTGGTTGTTTAACTGCGCATGTGTTTGATGACATTTTCATGTGTGAATGTAAACGTTGAGTTGGGGGCATAGCAGCTTATTTGGATTTAAAGTGACAGGCAGAACTGACCAGACTAAAATCTCATTATTATAGTGATTTTGTGCAGAAAAAATGAGTGAACATGTTTTGTTTAGCCCATGGACCTATCCTAGCCTGCACAGTGAAGCATAATGGTTCCCTTTTTGCTAAAGATCCTCTTGGATTATGAAATGTTCCTGAATTAAATACTTGTTAGTCTTAATAGAAGATTAATGCAGCAAGCTTAAGTGTTGCTATTGTTATTTCAATCCAAATTTGTAAAAGATTTTGATCTCTGTGTGGTAAAAAAACAAACAAATACTTTAGAGTTATTCACGTTGGAAATGATCTTGTGAGCAAATGAGGTGCAGGATATAAAATACATTATTTAAAGATAAAAATAAATATTAAACAAGTAGACTTCCACTTTTTGTGCTATCATTGCATAAAAATGTCTTGTTGTTTCACCACCTACCCTTGGGTTGGCACGGACGCTGCAGTTCAGCGTAGCGTTATACCCAGCAACAGCAAAGGTGTTGATTAGTGGTTGAGTGAACTTTGGTGGCTCCTTGAAGTCGCGGTCGTTGTACTCGGGTATTTTCATCTGCAAGCCTGTGGGTTTAAGGGTAAAGGAATGGGGTTGTGCATGATACTGACGCTGAGCGGTATCATGTGGGAAATTCCCTATGTGACGAGGGAAGGACAATGTATTTTTTTATTCATCACCAGCTCAGACTAAGACACCACCACTTAAGGGCCTGTCAGTCACACCCAGAACCCAATGAGATTCAAATGTGAAAGTGTGAATTAGACTCACTGGAGGGTGGAAAAGATCACTGACAGTACCTTCGGAGAAAGCAAAGGCAGCAAATGGAAAATGTTCCTCTAAAGAATCAACTTTCATCATTTCCCACCGATCAGTAATAAAGGCAGGGAAATGTTTCAGCTTCTCCAGGACAAAAACAGACACTGTATTTTAATAGACAAGCAAAGTTTTACCTCAACAACTGAACCTGGAATATTGAGATTGAAGAAAACTATAAAATTTTAATAAATTACATTTTATGGGCAAAAATTATTTCTTATCTCCTCTTATTTTCATCAAATACATGTCCTCTAATAAAGACAAAAATTATTGAATTTATAAAATAAGTAATCTAAAATAATTGTGATTTGTTAGCTAAATATTTATTAAAAGTCATGAAAACTGTCTTATAAAGGAAAAACATCAATTAAATAAAAACTTTTAGAGCTATTTCCCATCTGAAATCAGAAATCCCATTTAAGTAAACAAAACTTTGAAGTTATTAAACAAGTGTAAATACAAACACATTTTAAAAGAGTATATTATTTAAATGACTAAAGAATCAGATGAATCATAATTAATCAATTTTGAGCTACATTTGTTTTTCAGCACTATTCATTTCAGTCTACAAAATAAAGTAAGAAATTCTGAATCTTAAAATATTTAACTTCTCAAAAATAAAAATGCTACTAAAGACATTTATTTTAAATGAACAGCTTATGTTTACTATTTTGTATCACTTATTTTATAAACCAGAATTTGTGCAAAAACAATGTTGTTTCCAAGCTTCACCTTAGTAGCTAATAAATAAATGTACTACTTTGATTTTAATTGGCTTATTTTATAAAAAATTATGTATTCTAAATTAGAACACTGATTTTTTTTTTTTTACATTAAACGATAAAAATTACTGAATATATGAAATAAACATGTATACAAATAACAATATTCAAATTCACTAAAAGCAATTCTTTGTAAGTTAATTTTATTCAATCATATATCACTAAGTATGCATCAATCAAAATGGCTTTCCACTCTTCATTGTACCTTCTTTGACGATCAGAGCGCTCTTTTTGGTCTGGGTGGCCAGTTCGCTCAGACCACACATATTTTCTGAGAAGACTCTGAAGAAATATTCATTCCCAACCACCAGTTCTGTGATGGTGATGCAGTTCCGGTGATAGTGCTCAATGCATGTAAACCATTCCTGTAAAACAGAATAAACATTGTGTAAATATTATATAAACATTAAACTTCATTTATAGTTTTTTTATGGCTTCATATTTTGCACAACCATTGTTTTCTTGTCTGCTTTTTGAATGGTGTAGCCTGTTATTGGGGCATTTCCACTGTCTTTTGGAGGGGTCCACACGAGAGCTACATTTTCTCCCCAAACGTCTTCAATTGTGACAGCCTGAGGCGGTCCTGGTAGATCTTAAAATCAAAAAGGAAGCCTAAATTAATAGCTGTCATTAGCATGAAAGTAAATATGGTTTATTTTTTCTCATAATGTCACTTACCCACAATCTGTATGTCTATAATTGCCGTGTCAACATGGTTCTCAACCTGTACCGTCATCTCATACTTCCCAGAGTGGTTTCGGTCTGCTTTACGGATAAAAATGATGCTGTCACAGTCTGTGTTGCGGATGCTAACATGGGAAGGTTCTACAGGGTTGCCTTCCTTGATCCAAGTAACCTTTGGCCGAGGTTTTCCCTATGGACATGCATATAAATCCTTTGTAAATTATACCACTCAGAAGGGTTATATTAAAGGAGTTTGCGGTTTACCTGGAAAGGCACCACAAGGTTAACGGTTTCTCCAACTTTGCGAGTGTAAGTCTGTTTCAGGTGTCGCGGGACACGGATCTTTGGTGGTTCTGCAGACAACATTATGCTTATTAAATCAACTGTTTGGCTCATTTGTTGCAGTTGAACAGACTTCTGAGAACTCACCAACAACTTCTTTGACCAGGACAGAGTGCTGCAGAGTGCGTGGAGCACTGGCTCCTGCTTTATTTATGGCTTTGACTCGAACTAAAATCTTACATCCTGGAGTTAGACCAGTGATGGTGTACTTGGTTTTCTCAGTTACCTCTTTGTTGGATACCACCCAGTCGTCAGCTGTAGGTAAAGATAGTCCAGTTGGGATAATATTTTGTATCTAAAGACCTCACCTCAATGTTGTTAAGATTTGACTCACTTCCTTCGATGCAGTACTCCACTAAATATCCATCCAGCCCAGCTGCCCCAATGGTTTCTGGAGGACGCCATTTTACAGTCACTGTGGTGTCAGTAACATCGTCCACAACCAGCATAGTGGGCTCACTGGTCACAGCTGTGTTGAAATGAAAATTGTTGGTTATTTTTAGTTAGAAAGTGGGTGGATGGAAGGAAGAAAGAAGGGAAAGAAAAAGAAGTAAGTCAATATATCAATTAATAATTAGTACATTGGACAGGTTGGACTGAGAAAGGAATGGAGATACAGGCAAATGTAGAACAAATGGATGGAGAATGGATGGACTGACGGGCGGATGGATGGATAGATGTGTAGTGGGATAAATAATTGGGAAGTTGTACAAATGGACACATGGAAACAACACTTAGTCTATGAAATAGAAATTAATAATAATGGAAATACTTCATATGTTTTTTCTGTATGTTTCAAGCTCTTTCTTGACTATGAATGAACTCTGCAGTGGTTTCTCATTCTTCATGTGTTGCAGCAATTATCATGTGATGTACATATATCTAAATAAACAAGGGATCATGTAACGAAGAGATCACTGTGTTTTGCTGGTATGCCATGCCAGAACTCATTAGTGCCTATTCGGGCTGTCTATTTCTGTGATTCATATTTAACCCCTATTCAAACTCTGACTGACCTGCTCCTATAAACTTCTAATCCATGAATGATTTCACAGCCATCATAAAGACATATTTATTATCCCCTAAAGCGGCTGTATATCTAGTGAAGGTCAAAGTCAGAATGCTTTCTCTGATGGGTATTGGATTAAACAGCTATGTTACAGCCAACATAATTTGTATCACATAACATCGCTTAGATCAGGGGTGTCAAACTTCAGTCCTCGAGGGCCACTGTCCTGCAGTTTTTTTGATGTACCACAGGTACAAAACACAGGAATGAAATGGCTTAATTACCTCCTCCTTGTTCTCCAGAGCCTTGCTAATAACCTAATTATTCTATTCAGGTGTGGTGCAGCAGAGGCACATCTAAAAGTTGCAGGACACCGGCCCTCGAGGGCTGGAGTTAGACACCCCTGGCTTAGATGTTTGCCAGTACAATAAAACTGTTGTCAGTTCAACTGAAACCTTATATGTATGTCTTATTTTTGCCTTGGTAACTTGTTGGCACTAGCACTGAGATTAGTGCTACTCACCGAGGGGAGTAAAGGCTTTGGACGGTTCACTGGGTTTGGAGACACCAATGGCATTGACTGCAAAGATCCGGACTTCATATGGCACTCCTTCAATCATCTTCTTAGGTTCAAATGAAGTATCTTTGATCAAGTCAAAGTTCAGCCTCATCCATCTGGAGCTCTGTTTCTTTTTTCTCTCAATGAAGTATCCTTCAGGGAACCGATAAAAAGCTTGTCATTTCATAACTTTAATACTCAAGCTTGACCATGCATGATGGATTGTTTACCTAATATGGGTGAACCTCCATCATACTTGGGTGGTTCCCATGTCATAGAACACCAATCGCCTCCCACAACTGGGACCAAAGGTGCCTCAGGAGGATCAGGAATGTCTGCAAGTGACACATGACTAAATTATATTGAACAAATTGATATTAATGATTTTATGTTGGTATTTTCTCACCAACAACCTTGATTTTGACACTAGCTGTAGCTTCTCCTGCCTCATTCTGTAAAACAATTTTGTAGTTTCCTGTATCTTCGCGCTCTGTGACTTCAATTGTCAGGCTGGTCTGGTCGCCGTAAGTTTCAGCGTGAACTCTGTGGCCTGAATCAAGAATCACCTATAAAAGACAAATAAACCTGAATATAGAACAGCTGAAAGTTTGGTTTAAGCTCTGGACAACCTGAAGTATTTCAGGTTATCTAGTTAGTATGTTTCTTTAGCTCAGTTTTAACCCAAAAGGCATCTAAATTTAGTCAAAACTGAGATGTTTTGGCTAGGTCAGTGACATGCCTGGATGATCAAACCAAAATCTCAAATAAACAAGCAAGGAGCTCACCCTTTCTCCTTTCATCCACACCACTCTAGGTGCTGGTTCTCCACTTATGGGGATCTCTAATCGGAGTTTGTTTCCAGCCACAACTGTGACGGTGTTGTCTGGGAAGTTCAAGCTTTCGAGATGTACTCTTGGAGGATCTGCAGAATTGTAGCTAGTTATTAATTATTATCACAACTAATAACTCAGAAAAATATGAAGTGTTCAGTTTATGCACCAATGATGTGGATTTTAGCAGACAGGCTTTGTGAGTATCCTTCAGGCACAAAAGTGTAATCTCCTGCATCATGAAGGGAACTTGTCTCAATTTCCAGTCGGTGAACTCTTAAAAATAAAAAAGGTATTTGGTAGTGTGAACATGTTGGATTCCAGCCTGGAAAAATCTAAACAAGAAATTACTTTTATTTAAGCATTTTTGCATTTTTCAGTTCTTTGAAAGAAAGTAGAATATTTTCTATATTTTCAGTATATTCTTCAATTCTGGTTCCACACAGGTGGTACCAAGGCAATGTTTTTTTATTTAGACTTTAAAATAGTCTCAAACTTTCAGCTTGGATAAGGGTGGCATTTTAATGGAAACCCTGGGAGGCTTACTTAGCCCTGTGTATAATGTTGAGACGATCACTTGGCTGGATCAGCTGTCCATTCCTGTACCAACGACCTGGGACATTTCCTGGGAAGATTTCACAGTGTAACTTTATGGGTTGCCCCAGCATCACTGTCATATCCTGCAGATCCTGAAACACCTTCAAGGGTTTCACTAGAGAAAAGTACACAATTAGAATATTTTTTACTAAACATCTTAACATTGATGGACTAAGAAGAATAAACTTACAGTCTACTTGAACATGAGCCTCTGAAGTGCCTCCACTGGCCATGACAGAATATGTTCCAGTGTCGTCTTTGGAGGCATCATCAATGACCAAGTAATGTTTGGTTCCTTCACACTTCACTCTGTACCTTGAGCGAACTCCTGTTGGGACTTCAACGCCATTTTTCATCCTGACAAAGAATTTCAGTCAGTTTTCTCCAAGAGAGATGATAACACGAAGAACATATGTCTTACACTTCTGAGTTCTTGGCAAGAAATATTCTTGATAGTAATGAAAAACTAATATTTCCTTACCATTTAACTTGAGCGCCTTCCTCCGACACCTCACACTCTAGCTCAATCCTTTCGTTCACTGTAGTCTTCACAGGCTCAATACCTTTAACAATTTTTATTGGTAGCTCTGAAAGAAAACAGGCAAAGATGAAACTGAAAATAGGGTTTGTATGTGCTTATACACACACACACACACACACACACACACACACACACATAAATGAAAGACATTTTCTTGATACCTTTGACAAAAAGCTCTGTGGTACATTTCTCTTCTCCTGCAACCACAGAATAGGCTGCATCATCATTAGAGGAACAGTTGTTAATCACCATAATCCTTTGCGTGCCCTTATGTTCAAAAATGTACCTGAATGAAAAGTCAAGAACGTACATTACTGACTTTCTAAAAAACAACATATAAGTACAGTAATCCTTCAATATAAATTTAATTGAGTTTAATAAATTATCATATCTTAAAGCCAGAAAACCTAAAAATCTTGAAGGAATGAAATGTTAATAAATCACATTTTGCGATACCAATCTTTTTCAAGAGACAGAAGTAAATGTAAAACTCCCTTCTGGTAGCAAAAAAGCCTTATCAGTTATCACACTACGAAAGGATTGCACTACAAATAATGAATGATCCTGTAGCATAATCACACCATTTGAAACTCTTTGGTAACAGCATTTTTGTCTTTGACCATAGGATTTTTTTTGTGTGTTCATAAAACTTTTGTTTTTGATATTAGCATTTGCCTTTTATCTTAACATTTTAGTTTTTGATCATAGCATTTTTGTCTTTGACCATATGAAATGTTGTCTTTGATGATAGCATTAAGCCTATGCCTTTAATCTTAGCTATTTTTGGTCTTTGATGATAATTTTTTTGTCTTGTATCTTAGAATTTTTTTCATTTGATTACAGAATTTATATTTTTTTATCATAGCATTTACTGTTTCCCTTTGACCTCAGCATATTTCTTTGATCTTTGCATTTTTTCTTTTGATCATAGGATTTTTCTCATGGATTAAAGAGTTTTGTATTTCATCACAGCATTTTTATGTTTGATCATATCAGATAACCTTTACCTTTGATCTTAGAACTGATGTCTTTGATCATATAATTTTTTTCCTTGATCAAAGCATTTTTGTTTTTGACTATGGTATTTAGCCTTTCTCATCGATTTTAGCATCATTCCCTTTTATCATGTAAATTATTTCTTTGATGTTAAGATTTTTTTCTTTGATCTTTTCATATTTCACTTTGATCAAAGAAATTTTTTCTTAGATCAAAGAAATTTTTTCTTAGATCAATGGATTATTTGTTTTCGACAATCATATTTAGACTATCTCGTTTATATAAGCATTTTTCTCTTTGATCAGAGCATGTTTGTCTTTGATGTTCAGAATTTTTTCTTTGATCTTTTCATTTTTCACTTTCATCAAAGAAACTTTTTCTCAGATCAAAGCATTTTTGAATTTGATCAAAAGTTTTTTTTGTTTTTGACAGTCATATTTAGAATTTCTCCTTTATTTAAGCATTTTTCTCTTTGATCAGAGCAAGTTTGTCTTTGATGTTAAGAATTTTTTCTTTGATCTTTTTATATTTCACTTTGATCAAAAACTTTTTCTTAGATCAAAGCATTTTTGAATTTCATCAAAGGATTTTTTGTTTTTGACAGGCATATTTAGAATTTCTCCTTTATTTAAGCATTTTTCTCTTTGATGAGAGCAAATCTGTCTTTGATGTTAAATTTTTTCTTTGATCTTTTCATTTTCACTTTGTTCAAAGAAACTTTTTCTCAGATCAAAGCATTTTTGAATTTGATCAAAGGTTTTTTTGTTTTTGACAGTCATATTTAGAATTTCTCCTTATTTAAGCATTTTTCTCTTTGATCAGAGCAAATTTGTCTTTTGTGTTAAGATTTTTTCTTTGATCTTGTCACATTTCACTTTGATCAAAGAACTTTTTCTTAGATCAAAGAATTTTTGAATTTCATCAAAGGATTTTTTTTTTGACAATAGTATTTACCTTTCTCCTTATAACATTTTCCTCTTTGATGAGAGCAATTTGTCTTTGATGTTAAGAATTTTTTCTTTGATCTTTTTATATTTCACTTTCATCAAAGAAACTTTTTCTTAGATCAAAGCATTTTTGAATTTCATCAAAGGATTTTTTGTTTTTGACAATAGTATTTAGCCTTTCTCCTTTATTTAGCATTTTTCTCTTTGATCAGAGCAAGTTTGTCTTTGATGTTAAGAATTTTTTCTTTGATCTTTTCATATTTCACTTTGATCAAAGAAACTTTTTCTTAGATCAAAGCATTTTTGAATTTCATCAAAGGATTTTTTGTTTTTGACAGTCATATTTAGAATTTCTCCCTTATTTAAGCATTTTTCTCTTTGATCAGAGCAAGTTTGTCTTTGATGTTAAGAATTTTTTCTTTGATCTTTTCATATTTCACTTTGATCAAAGAAACTTTTTCTTAGATCAAAGCATTTTTGAATTTCATCAAAGGATTTTTTGTTTTGACAGTCATTTAGAATTTCTCCTTATTTAAGCATTTTTCTCTTTGATCAGAGCAAGTTTGTCTTTGATGTTAAGAATTTTTTCTTTGATCTTGTCATATTTCACTTTGATCAAAGAAAATTTTTCTTAGATCAAAGCATTTTTGAATTTCATCAAAGAATTTTTTGTTTTGACAGTAATTTAGAATTTCTCCCTTATTTAAGCATTTTTCTCTTTGATCAGAGCAAGTTTGTCTTTGATGTTAAGAATTTTTTCTTTGATCTTTTCATATTTCACTTTGATCAAAGAAACTTTTTCTTATATCAAAGCATTTTTGAATTTCATCAAAGGATTTTTTGTTTTTGACAGTCATATTTAGAATTTTTCCCTTATTTAAGCATTTTTCTCTTTGATCAGAGCAAGTTTGTCTTTGATGTTAAGAATTTTTGCTTTGATATTTTCATATTTCACTTTGATCAAAGAAACTTTTTCTTAGATCAAAGCATTTTTGAATTTCATCAAAGGATTTTTTGTTTTTGACAGTCAATTTAGAATCTCCCTTATTTAAGCATTTTTCTCTTTGATCAGAGCAAGTTTGTCTTTGATGTTAAGAATTTTTTCTTTGATCTTTTCATATTTCACTTTGATCAAAGAAACTTTTTCTTAGATCAAAGCATTTTTGAATTTCATCAAAGGATTTTTTTTTTGACAGTCATATTTAGAATTTCTCCCTTATTTAAGCATTTTTCTCTTTGATCAGAGCAAGTTTGTCTTTGATGTTAAGAATTTTTTCTTTGATCTTTTCATATTTCACTTTGATCAAAGAAACTTTTTCTTAGATCAAAGCATTTTTGAATTTCATCAAAGGATTTTTTGTTTTTGACAGTAGTATTTAGAATTTCTCCCTTATTTAAGCATTTTTCTCTTTGATCAGAGCAAGTTTGTCTTTGATGTTAAGAATTTTTTCTTTGATCTTTTCATATTTCACTTTGATCAAAGAAACTTTTTCTTAGATCAAAGCATTTTTGAATTTCATCAAAGGATTTTTTGTTTTTGACAATAGTATTTAGCCTTTCTCCTTTATTTAAGCATTTTTCTCTTTGATCAGAGCAAGTTTGTCTTTGATGTTAAGAATTTTTTCTTTGATCTTTTCATATTTCACTTTGATCAAAGAAACTTTTTAGATCAAAGCATTTTTGAATTTCATCAAAGGATTTTTTTTTGACAAGTATTTAATTTCTCCTTATTAAGCATTTTCTCTTTGATCAGAGCAATTTGTCTTTGATGTTAAGATTTTTTCTTTGTGTCATATTTCACTTTCATCAAAGAAACTTTTTCTTAGATCAAAGCATTTTTGAATTTCATCAAAGGATTTTTGTTTTTGACAATGTATTTAGCCTTTCTCCTTATTTAGCATTTTTCTGATGATCAAGTTTGTCTTTGATGTTAAGAATTTTTTCTTTGATCTTTTCATATTTCACTTTGATCAAAGAAACTTTTTCTTAGATCAAAGCATTTTTGAATTTCATCAAAGAATTTTTGGTTTTGGCAGTCATATTTAGAATTTCTCCCTTATTTAAGCATTTTTCTCTTTGATCAGAGCAAGTTTGTCTTTGATGTTAAGAATTTTTTCTTTGATCTTTTCATATTTCACTTTGATCAAAGAAACTTTTTCTTAGATCAAAGCATTTTTGAATTTCATCAAAGGATTTTTTGTTTTGACAGTATTTAGAATTTCTCCCTTATTTAAGCATTTTTCTCTTTGATCAGAGCAAGTTTGTCTTTGATGTTAAGAATTTTTTCTTTGATCTTTCATATTTCACTTTGATCAAAGAAACTTTTTCTTAGATCAAAGCATTTTTGAATTTCATCAAAGGATTTTTTGTTTTGACAGTATTTAGAATTTCTCCCTTATTTAAGCATTTTTCTCTTTGATTCAGAGCAAGTTTGTCTTTGATGTTAAGAATTTTTTCTTTGATCTTTTCATATTTCACTTTGATCAAAGAAACTTTTTCTTAGATCAAAGCATTTTTGAATTTCATCAAAGGATTTTTTGTTTTGACAGTCATATTTAGAATTTTTCCCTTATTTAAGCATTTTTCTCTTTGATCAGAGCAAGTTTGTCTTTGATGTTAAGAATTTTTTCTTTGATCTTTTCATATTTCACTTTGATCAAAGAAACTTTTTCTTAGATCAAAGCATTTTTGAATTTCATCAAAGGATTTTTGTTTTTGACAGTCATTTAGAATTCTCCCTTATTTAAGCATTTTTCTCTTTGATCAGAGCAAGTTTGTCTTTGATGTTAAGAATTTTTTCTTTGATCTTTTCATATTTCACTTTGATCAAAGAAACTTTTTCTTAGATCAAAGCATTTTGAATTTCATCAAAGAATTTTTGGTTTTGGCAGTCATATTCAGAATTTTTCCCTTATTTAAGCATTTTTCTCTTTGATCAGAGCAAGTTTGTCTTTGATGTTAAGAATTTTTTCTTTGATTTCATATTTCACTTTGATCAAAGAAACTTTTTAGATCAAAGCATTTTTGAATTTCATCAAAGGATTTTTTGTTTTTGACAGTCATATTTAGAATTTCTCCCTTATTTAAGCATTTTTCTCTTTGATCAGAGCAAGTTTGTCTTTGATGTTAAGAATTTTTTCTTTGATCTTTTCATATTTCACTTTGATCAAAGAAACTTTTTCTTAGATCAAAGCATTTTTTGAATTTCATCAAAGGATTTTTTGTTTTTGACAATAGTATTTAGCCTTTCTCCTTATTTAAGCATTTTTCTCTTTGATCAGAGCAATTTGTCTTTGATGTTAAGAATTTTTTCTTTGATCTTTCATATTTCACTTTGATCAAA